ACATCGAATGTTAATTTGATATAAATTTTAGTAATTCCAAATACCAAGTGGTACAAGCACTACTTTTTCCCCTAGTGGAAGCCGAGTTTGCTCGCAGTTTTCTATTCTCAAAACTCGTGTATTACACAGACAATAATTATACATTCATGAAAGATTAGTGCAACGAATTTTCTCAAATTCAATCTCATTATTCTCAACAAAATGCTGTACGATTAATATAATTATGCAGCGGCCACTTGTTGAGACCCAACGTGATTACACTTTACATACATACATAAAGGCGTCCATCGTGTATTAATACAGTCACGTGGACATTTTCTTGATGATACATCTCACATTATAATACTAATATATTTACGATCAACGATCGTCTCAATCAATTCAAAATAATTATGTTCATATTCTCAAGTGCATTTTATCAAATAAATCGACTATATATTTTATTCATTGTGTGTTCCATAATTTAATTCACCTCGTGTTAACATCCACCCGGCATTTCACATATACAATATCTCATCAGTAATTAGTTTTATTGAAATCTCAAACATAATGTATTAATGAATTTACACTTTACCACCGATTGGGATAGACAATAGTTTCGCCAAACAGATCACAGAAATTTTTTATCAGATTTTTAACGTTTATTCCCCCATTTTTTATTTTATTTTAAACAATAAATCATTCAATCAGGGCAATTTTTGTTCTGAACAACTTGCGGTAAATATTTATAATAAGGGAGCCGATTTTGCTAATTTTTCAATATGTTGTGAAAGTTATCACCATGATTAGTGCTGTTAAGGTTTCAGTTGGGGGTTGCCATTTGTAAAAAAAGTTATTATCAAAAAAAGTTACTTTTCTTCCTGAACTGTCTCTAACCAACTTCGATCAGTATAATGCTTCAGAGTTGGTTAGAGACAGTTCAAGGAAACAAAGTCAAAAAGTTAGAGATTGTTCAAGAAAAAGGTGAAATGAAACTTTCTGAAGGTCACTTAGGAGGGTTACCTTGACAACGTATGTCAAGGTCAAAGTCATCGGTTATTTTACTTATCAATACTAGAAAAGTACAATACTAAATTTGTTTACAAACGGTCACCCCAAATTAAAACCTTGACAATACTACTCAGGGTGATGACCTTGACGATATATTAAAAAATCATCGAAATCCGAGGTAGGTCCCTTGTTGTAAATGTTTACCCAACTGACTGTGTTAAATGGTCATCGATACATAATACACTAACGTAATTATTCATTGTCTCAACACAATCATGACAATAATAAAATCTGCAGAAAATCCATCAAACCTTTTCCACTGATCCGATATATGTATAGTAGATATATAGAGCACTTCTTCATGTCTAGAAATTTCCTTTTATACGTATAGATCGATCAAAATATAGTTTTAATCAGATATTCGTATTACTATGATTTTTTACACCGTTCTTTGTTAACCAAATATATGTTAAACATGACTTTGCATAGTCGACGGTAACCATATAGTGAGGTAATAAACTCAGATGGGTCATAAATAGCAGCTTCTTTTTGGTATCGGTCCAGATGGGATCGTCGGATCTAAAACAGTTTTCAGCTTTACCAAAATTTTCAGAACTAATGTTAGAGAAACGCTATACAATTTAGAAGGAATATACTTTGCAAAGCCCCAGGCCAGACCTAGATTGGGTATCACTTATTGACTGACATGATATCCTTTGTTTACTGGGGCACCCCAAACTTCTGATTATGGCCAGCTAACAATGAGCCTTCTACCTCACTATAACCTTACCATTGACTGTACTCAACATTAGATTCAGTTATCGTTTCATGTAGTATTTCTAGATAAAGTTGGACCGAAGAAAATGACAAAATATAATATATTGCAGAATATATTACTAAGTTATTCCATGAGTAATGTGTTATTTTGTACATATACGTACTAAGTGAAAGTAAACAACTTTTTGTTAGTAATTTATTTATCAGATGTATTGACGACTGCTGTGCCAATTCTGCAATAATTACTCGATAATTTTGTTGAGTAATGATCCGTAGAATGTCTTCTTGTAGATCTACAGATTCCCGATATGAGGTTTATATTTGAAACTATGATCCCCTGCATTTTTTGTTCCATCTTGTTCCTTGAATTGCACAAAATATTTCTTCAAATATCAAGGACATACATACTTTACTACTCCAATTGAGTTATTCCGCAGTTCACAATATTTTCTTGCGATATTATCAGTTAATGTATAATACGGAACAAAAGCTATGAAAGAATAGTTTGTTATTTTTTACAGAATATTACTGCATCCCTATTAGGTTCTTCTCAATGCTTATAAATGCTCCTGTCAATTTTAAGTTACCTATACATTTTTATATAGGTATATACATTGTATTGAAAAAAATTTCCTTATTACATTTTTGCGATATAGTTCAAATAATAACGAGTATAAAAATGCAACTTATTATTTTTAGGATATTCTATGGAATATGATTTTTCTTCGCGAGGAAGACCCACGCGTCCACAACGAAAAATTCTTTTGTGAATAAAATTCAACGAGTATATCAAGCAAATAAAATTATTATCGTACTCCGCGGGACATTAATTAGAAATTCAGAAATATAGAAAAATAAACTGGTTCAACGCATGGGGAAACACTAACAAAATAAAGATAAGTTTATCGAACACCATAAACCTTGATATCTGTAGAGCACGCAGCATTATATGAATACTTCCATGTATGTATATGTATAAAAAGCCAACGATGAAAGCAGTAAACGCTATCTCGTAAAAATAACAGTGATATTAATAATTGATTGGGAGTCACGTTACAACAAAACACAATATTATATTGCCCACTGTGATACAACCATATATAAAGTCTCCATTTTTTAAAAACAATAATGTACTACATTCCAATAATGAGAGGTTCAAAATACTTCAAGCGTAAATCTGTCACGGCGAGCGAGTGACTTTATGGCTCTTTACTTTAATCTCGTTTGGATCCCATTAAGGTTTAAACAAACGACCGAACGGAAAAATATGAATCCTGTGAAGTTTATCGTGCACGCAAATCTTCGTTGCGTGTTCTCCGTCCACCTGAATCCATCGTCCTCCCGGTCGAAACTGGAGGAAGGGGTAAGTTGACGTACCATCGAACTACAACGAATACAATGCTCGAGCCCCCGGAGAACTTTTAAATAGAAAAGTTTCGTCCGGGCACTTCGCGATCTTGCTACTCGTTATCGTACCTCGTTAACTCGTAAACGTTAATAACCGACAGCCGTCGTAATTCACAATTAGCGTAATAAAAGAAAAACTGACGCAACCGTCGGTTTTCATACGGGAAGGGGTTAGGAGTGGGAGTCGAGGCAGCGGACTTTTAAAATTCATCAGATACTCCGCGAAAGTGGTACGTATGAAATTTTCATAGACATCAGGCAACGGTCTCATAATTAAATTGCCAAGGAGAGAACGACCGCGTTGTTTCGAATGGGGCGAAATCATGTCGATACTCCTATTTCATACTATACTATTGGATTGTTCGGAAAGTAATTTCGTTTTGTGCATGAATATGAAAGACTATTTTTTGTATAGAAAGAAATAGTTTTATTCAGTTATATATCAACTTTTTTGTTCCAACACCTTTTGCCACTTTTCAGGTAATTAAGTGATTCCTCGCCTGTAGAACTTCTTGTCCTTATTGGCAAAAAATTGAATTAAGTAGTTTCTTACACCTTTTGATAGGCACCTTCTGATTCAAGAATCAATAATTTCGCAAATAACGAAATAAAGAAATTATTTATCTGGCTGGAACGCGAAGAAGATCTCTATATCTATATCGGATCGTGAGAATAAGCCTTCTGCTCGGGCGCACCTCCGTGCGTAATATTACAATAGTAAATGTTTGCGATGAAAGATTATTATCTAGAACGATGACTACCTTCAAATAAATTGATGAATTAAGTAGCGAAACACCATGAATATGAAGTAATAAATATAATAAAAATAATTAAGATATGTAACTATGTTATTTAGAAATAGTTATTTTTCATATTTTCATACAATTTTTGTCCTACTTCAAGAACCTAGTAAATTCTTCGCAGAAACTACTATTAATGTAAAATTCAATGCGTGCAAAGAAAAAAATTCTTCAATCAACCCATTGGTCAACAGATATTGAAAGAATATTAAAAATGTATCAATCAAGTTGATAATATAGCGATATAAACTTCACGAATTATTGTTTGTACCATTTTGTGCATTTTGTATCTCGAGATTTTCGAAGTTGGGAATTTTGAGATTGTTATGTCAACACTGTTTTCACTTATAAATTGAATTCACTTGGATATGTTACGCTCTTTGTCAAAGATTCAACGCGAAAATTCTCACGTTGGTAAGCGTGAACAGGCAGATGAAAATTTGTAAAGCTCACTCACGTTTTCGTTTTGAAGTGCAATGACCGCGCCTTCGTTTATTGGACCGGAAAATTCGACTCGAAGTCAGAAGAAATTTCATAAACCTTGCGCTGGCATGTTGTTCCGCATGCCATGGCGCGTTTTGTTATGCGCGCCTTTTGACACGACGCCGGCGAGTTTTTCAAGTTATAAATCGACGGTCCTCGACTACAGTTCATTTCGCGAAGCTTTCTTCACCGCATCAGAATAGGTAGAGCCACACTTTATGAGCTCATGTCTTTGATCCTCCATGCTAAATCTTCCTTCTTCCCCCACGGCGGGCTTTAAAAGCTTGCTGAACTCAATTTCTGCACGAGATATATGACGGATAATACAAGTGAACTTCCTATCTCGACATACCATAACAGAATAGAGCAAATTTTCTATCGAATAACTAATAAAATGTATTCGTGAATAAGGAATAATGATTTTTTCCTTAAGTCGAATAATAATTTTATTCGACCAAGGAGTAAATACTATTAATTGACTCCAAATATTTAGAAAAATATGGCGGTTATGTTTAAAGTATACGTAGTGGTTTAAGTACTCACCTCAAGTCTCCTTTTTGTAGAGAGATTTCCTCGAAAACTAATCGAATCCTCTCCTTCAATCTGCAAAACAGTAATTCAAACTATGTTATTTTCAACGACGATAATACATAAATGATGTAATAAAAACAGTTTGGTTTCTGAAGAAACTGTAAAGACACTCTTTTTTATCATTAACATTGTTCGTTAATATTTGTAAGCGTAAAATTACTATTGAATATTTAAGCTATGTCTTGTAAACTCATAACATGATTCTGTAGAGTTTTTATTTTATACTCCAAAACATTTACATTACAATCACATTTAAACATTTTGGAGCAATTCTGACATACCGTTTTAAAGAAATGATTGTCATGTAGGCCTTAGAAATGATTCAGTTTAGTTCTGGAGTTGATTCTGTTCGAGTAGGAAAGGGTTGTACGATCTGTTTCTACAAAAGTATGACTCTTTCTTTTTATGTTTAGAAAAACTGATAGTATTTACGCAGAAACCTAATATAATATTAGGTTGTAATATAAATATTACTTTAACATTACAATAATACAATATTAGGTATTCTGTATTCTTGTTTCTTTATTTTCATCCAATAAATTTTGTCATTAACATTAAGTTGTATCACATGACATTGCTGATATTCGAATAGTTAATAATCAACCGCGATTAGTGAATTAAATATAATCAAAAGTTCTACGTCTCTATCCCTTTTGATTACAGATGTCTTATTGTAATTACTTAACTGTTCTAAGTAAACGAACAATATGGTACCGAAGGAACAGGTTCGAATATTTTTTCAATATGAATTTTAAATTAGGTCATGGCAAAGTTAGCTGAATTAAATTATGAAGTCTTGCGTTAGTCACGACATCGACCAAATGTTTCCCCAACGAAATATCCCTTTGTGTATTATCAGGAGCTCCCCTTAAGAAACTAAACATTCCCTAACCGAGAATCGATACTTGAAGAACTTGAAGAATTCATGCAATCCGATAAGACCAATTTTTATGGAAATGGAATGTAACATTTAATATCTCGCTTGAGAAAAGCTGAATTCTGCTAAAAAAATACAGAAACGGTAATTTCATATGGTACTACTTAATTGAGGGAATACATGCCTTCTATCAGTAATATTTTAGTGTCTACGGTGAAAGTTATTTATGGTTCAACTGAATGTTTGTACAAACTTGCTTCTAGCAATATTTGCTAGAAACGGAACTTCTTTAAACGTGTCAACAGCCTCGTTGATAAATGGTGTAACGAGTATCAGAGTGCAATTTGCGGCGTTAATGTAGTGACAGGTATGAATACGCGGCGAACGGATTCTGCACGCGAGCATACGCGCATCCGTCAGGTTTACAGTTATGCGCGGTGCGTTGCAACCCCGATGTAACTGTTAGGCATACTGAAGTGCAAACGCTACTTTGATACAATTACTGCAATTAAGCGGAAGCCTACAGAAATCATATCTGCATACTGGCTCGACGCCACGATTCAATTTACTGCGTACGAACGACGGTACGGGATTGTGGAAGTCGTCATTATTTCTCTTGATTACAAATCGCGTATTAGATGCTAGAGGTCGTGTGAGGACAGACAATATTGATAAACGAATAAAGTAATAAAATAAGTAGATTTGATATTTATGCAAAATGACTGTCTATAAAGTAATTCATGAAGACAAGAGCAAATGTAGGAAGTGCTATCTTCTCCAAAATATTTTATTAGGTGCAGAATAGAATAGAAAACTCGTGGCATCTGATGAATGTTTTGTCTTTTATTGTATTTCACAGAGTCTTGTACGGTATAAATACATACGTCAAACTGGTTGTATAAAAATAAGTTATATGTCGGTTTTAAGAGTAGCCAATTAACTCATGTGAAATCTTGATCAATGTGGAACACAATCGACGTCTACCCCTAGCCAAAAGTGTGTAATTGAACAAACTAAATATGTAATGTGAATCTTACTTACGCGTTGAATCAGAAAAGTGTACACATTAATAGCGAAAGGTCGTCTTTATTTAAAATATTAATATAAAAACATTTAATATCTCATATAGATATTTGTCTAATATGGACATCTTTATTTAAGACAGAAATATCGTTTTTCATATATGAAATATAGAACAGCAAAATTAAACGGGGATCGGACGAAGTGTTCAATCATCTTTAGAGATTAGGGAAAGCGTCCGAAAATTTTTAGTTATTTGTTTGTTCAGTAAATAAATTTTGTTTAACAATTTATGGTATTCTTAACATACCTTTTGTATAATTCTAATATTGAAAAGAACTTTCGATTATACTATGTTTGGTAAATGTATGAAAGTATAACTTTTCGATTCCATTTCTTTGACATACATGTAACAATACTTTCTATTTCAATAGGTATGTAAATAATTCCTGAAATTATCACTGTCAGCCACGTTTGATCGAACACTTTCTGTCAAGGTGTAGAACTATTACACAACATTCCACGTTAGTATTCAACAGTACTCAATAAATTCAGATAAAACTCCAACATATAAGGAACATAATTAATTTGATTGTTATGATATAATTATTGCTCAGCTCTTAAAATCTGTTATACAGTTATGAAATTCTATAAATCCTCTATATTTAACAGCCAGGTACAGGAAACAGTAATACTACAAAATATACCTGAATTTTTCGAAAACTCAACTATTGGATCTAAACAATTAATTTCTTTATTATGGTATAATGTTTTTTATAATGTATTATAAACAGTAATATTTGATAAATAATTAGCTCTCTTTATATTATCGTTGAATTATTACTTTTTTAACAAAAAATGTGCTTCAAACTTCTGAAATGGCATAAATCGTCTACATTCTAACAGTCAACAGAGAACAGTGATGCAAGAAAATGTGACTGAATGTTTGAAATATTTACTAAATAATTAGCTCTGAGAATAATCTGAAGGCTACAATATTGTGAGGTATAAGTATATCCTTTTCATCTTTTGCCAAACACAAGCCGGACGGGATCATCCATCAGCGTTTTTACAAAGTAGTCGCGCAGTTTCAGAGATCCGGCCTTAAGAATAGCAGAACTTCCGGCATTCGCGTGCCAACAACTCGCCCCCACTTTTTCACCCTGTTCGGCCCTTTTATGCGGTTATACCGAAAATGCTCGGCAGAACCGGCATAAACTTTCGACAATCAGCGTAACAAGGAGCGGAGATGAGAAACAAGCAAAGTTATGTCGGTCAGGAAACCGGAAAATTTCAGGTGACAAGAGAGAGCTGCCGGTCCACCGTAACGAAATTATGTCAACGAGGTACCGGCTATTTAGAACGGATTTCGTATCAAACGAGCTTTAACCTTTTGGGTACGATCGTCGAGCTTAGTCGATCTTTATGTACGCTGTAATGAAAAGGTGAATTCGAACCAGGTAAGTTGATTAAAAATGTGATAATCGTCCACGACGATATAAGTAAACGTTAAACGTAATAATGACTTGCCTCGAACATGTATTACAATATAGGGCAATAAAGATTAAATAAATATTTATCCATTATTCAGGTAATCGGAAATTACGTAATTGATATCGTAGAATATATCAAATGAAATTTTTGTTATGGAAGGTTTATTAGTTTCTGCAATTTCAATATGCCATTTACCATTTCAATATGTATTCTATTGCTTATAAGTATTTTTCCATTAACAATAATTTCAGTTTATTAAAAATTGTATTAAGTATTGTATAAATTTCGTGATCATTTATCGAATTTTCAACAATTATTCTCACTCTTCAAACAATTTATTCTTACTTATGAAAAACTTGAAACAGTTGCTTAATATTAATTTGGCGGACAACATTCGCGACTGTACACGTACCACAACGGTCGACTCTGGGATTTACAATGCCAGGCGGATTCAAAAGAGAATCCGCGAGGATGGACGCGACAGAATGTATATAAAAATGATATTAAAATTACACTATGGCGATCAGCTAGCTTCACAAGTAACTTGCACCAGCAACCGCTCGTTTTTTCTATTAATATTTAAGAAAACCTTTTTTTTTAAATTTAAAAATATTTAGTAACTCTGAAATACCTGAAAAATACCATTTTGCACTAGCATGACGCCAGTGTCGCGTCATCGGTCGTCATAGTGTCAACACGATGCAATTAACCCTTGTGTAGACAACCAAAATATTCACGGTTATTGAGTAATCGGACTACTTCTATTCTAACAGATTAGAGAAACATAGATAATTTTACTTTCACACTTTTCCAAAACTGTTAGTTTTCCCTTCCAATAATATATTGTGTTTTAGACACGACCATAAAAAATTGTGAAAGGAAATTTAGAAATAGGTTAATGTGTGGTTAATGCGTATAAAAATGTGAATTTTAAATTTTCTTTCCATCCAGACTATCTCGTTCCGAGAAGCTGGATGATAAACTACCCCGCATCTTACCGGTGTAATTAAATATTTCAGCGTTCGGTCAGTTCCAATTCGCGGTCGTGCAACGTTGTGCTAAGATCTTTATCGAAGAACGCGAAGACGAAGATACTGGAGCTCGGGTGTTAATTAACCGGCAACCGGATTACGGATTGGAGCCGTTAAACACGCAGGGACGTTAGATATACGACGGCGACTCGAGATTGGCCCCGAGATGCATTATATATGGATTATGTCGGGATCAGTTTCCGAGCTTAATAGTAGGTCAGGCTGCTTACCTTGCCCGGAAGAGGTACAAGCACCGGATGTTCTTTGGGTAAGAGGACGGGTACCGCGGCGAGTAGAATCGTCCGTACTGTGGCGACGACTGCGAACTGACAAACTCGAGGTCACACATCGTGCTCGGAATCAGCACACCGTCCGTCTCGAACAGTCCTGAAACAGAAACGGGTGATAAATGGTCAGGTGGGAATGGATTTCTCGCGCTTCGTTTACCACCTGCCCGTACCTATTCGGTTAACTTTTCAGGAAACTTTGAATACTTTAGGGACAGACTAAATCGTGAAAAATTATACCCATTGTGGGGATGATAGAATGTCAGGAAATGCTGTGACTACTGAGGGATAGGTCGTCGGAAAGAGAAACGTGGTGGTTTGCATGGTGTACAGGTGAAACAGTGGGGTACAGTGTTGTGAGCTTGATTTGTAGTATTGTTAGTAATAAAGGAGAGTCATTTCGACACAAATTTTTGTTTAACGTCCATACATGGCTTCGGTGGTATTTGATAGATCGTTACTTAGTAAAGAAAAAAGTATATTGCTACAAACCTGTGAAACTTGGGGGTTTCTAGATATTGACATTTCTATCTGCCCGAATGTAAATGTTTATTGTTTTTTAATGCTTCAACTTATTGATCTCAAACTTTTTTTAGTATTATTGCTTTAATATGGCCTTTCTGGGTGACAATGATTTTTAATTCTCAACAGCTTGTAGTGTGGGTGAATTTTTAACAACTTTTAGAAAGCAATGTTTAGCGTATTTCACGTAAAATACTTCGACTTAGGGGTCGTTAGCTAGCTATTTTATAATGTTTTAGTACAGGGGTATGGTAAACATCAGTTTTGCAACATTTTATTAAAATATATTATAATAAGATATACAGACAGTTTTTTACGTATATCTTGGAAACTAAGGCCCACCAACATTTTCGTGAAAGGAAAAAGTTTATTTCAAATAAAATTTGCCCAGGTCTAATGACGACTATAGAAATAAATTATGCTTAGAATTATTGTAATAACTCATAATGCACGTGTCTGATTCTAATACGACTAATGCTTTCAGTTGTTGTATAGTTATATCGCTTTGAAAAGGTGCAATTAAATTAAGTTACAGCAACTTACTAAATGTTAAATGATTTATTTATCAACCTGTGTTTTTCATAAACAGTTCTATTGCTCTAAAATCCATTCCTTTTGCAATATATTACACAAAATAATTAATGATACTAAGCAATAATGTACCTAACTTATTTTAATATGTTATGAAGTGTAAATTTTATTGCAAATGCACACTGTGAGGCTGTACTGGAATTCCTATAGTCATGCATTGAGCTTAACTTTGTAATATGATGACATTCATCTCAACTACACAAATCAATTGAAAGAATATCTTTTTTAGGAATTTAATTTTGGAAGCTTAAGCAACTTATAACAAACAACTTCTTGCGATCTAATTCGTTTTAGATTAAGCTTATTAGTATTTCATATGTAATAATCGTGAAGTTAACAAAGAACAAGTTTACAGAAATTGTTTGCTTTATTCTTTAATATAATATCTAATTGGGAATGCACATTAATCTTAATATTAACACCAACATTCTGTTTCTTTCCTTTTCATCAACAAAAATAAAAGCACCTTTCCCTCGACATATTAATAATCCAACATAAAACAAACAACTCAGAAATAATTTTGAATTCAAGGACATAATTAAATATATTCTCGTGTATATATGGAATAGTTTGAAATGATTTCAATTTAACTGCACACGTTCGATACCCACTTGTTTCTCCATGTACGAACAGTTCCGGCATTTCACGTGATTCGTCGAAATGAATGTAGGTAGCATCGCTAGGAAGTTCGAGAGATATTCGCAACACTTTGCATTTACAGACACAGTAGAAATTTCAGCATCCCCGAGACCTATGTCGAATAGTTAAAACTCGTCACAACCGGAACATGGTGCGCCATGTCTTTTCCATTTCCCGCGGAACCCGTATCACGGATATCCGGAACATTCTATCGTTCCGTATAAGTTCCTGAAATTTAGCGTTTCCGTAACCAATATCGGGTAGTTTGCTGCCTCCGAAAGACGGAAACTTTAACTACCTGATCGTGTATTTATTAATAGCCCGTTGAATTTAATTAAAACCTGTTACAGCATCGACTCGAGAAGTTTGAACATCATAACTTCTATGAAGTAACCACTATCCGTGTATCAACTGTCATGTAACAACCTATTCATATGCAAATTACAAATACAGTACACATTTTTACAGTAAAAATATTTTTCATTGTATTATACTTTGACGAAACTGTCATCATTGAATCAGTGATGATAATAATTGGATACTGTTTAGCTTACACAGATATATAGATTGATACACGTACCATTGATATAATACTAATCATTATTCCAAGTATGAAATCACATGGGAACATTAGTTGATGTGACACTAACCTCCTGCAAAAATGAAACCATTAGAACCATGAAACCTGTAAAAATGAGGAATCTACGATTTTTTGTATTGTAATTACTGCAATTATAATGAATTGCCGTATAAGTGAATTCAATGTATATTAAGTGATGGTCTTAAAATTATTTAGTCTAACTAATTCACAGAAATAATTTAAAAGAACAGAAATCATTATAATATAGAATTTATTACTGTTTTGAGATTTACGAGATGAAGTAATAAGCTGAATACTTAGTGTAGGATTTAAGTAATTAAACACTTAAAGTAATTAAGTAACAATATTCAGCATTTTCATAATGGTCATTATGATTCGTTTCTAACGAGTTAACCTATATTTACTGCTGCATTTCACGTATTAAAGGCTTTAATAACATTATTAAACTAGTTCAAATGCTGTCAGTATCTCGTGGCTGTTGCCCGCATAAAAACTGCACGATAATTCAGTTTATTGTCATTTGCAATAAAACTGACAATAATTCAGACACGATCCAAAAATGTTGCACTATACATATGTATGTATAAAGCTGCGTGCATAAAAAGAACTTACTTCTTGATTAACTGGCCGGAACATCCCGGTCTGGTTTCGAAGCTGATGTTGCAGCGAAACTATTCCGTATGATTGAACATATTTCAACGAAATTTACCTATTTAGCTCATTTATATACAATGAAATGAAACGAAACGTATCGGAGTTATTGTCGGGAAATATTTTTAAATTGCGTAAATCGTGATTGCACGCGCGCACCAGACGGAATTATTTCCCCCGGAACAGATTCTGTGTAATTTAAAATTAAAACCAGGCATCGGGAAACTGGAAAATACCAACGAGTGCGGAAAAGCAGGGGTTGATATTTCCAGCATTCCAATTTGGTTGCAAATAGACTTGGAAAAATATTGGCCTGTTCTCCGTTCGATTAATTTGTCAAATTGTTTCCGATTTTTATAATCCTGCGAGTTGCCGGACTCAATGAGACGTGTAGCATTTATTGTGAAGTAACTATAATACAGATTCTTCTTTTTTTTTTTAAATAAAAAGGAAAAGGAAATTCTTTTTACAAAATCATAGGTGAAGTGAATCCATTTAAATAATAGACGCTATTACTAGTCTGCAAATATTTATTTATAACTTTTCAGTGGGGATCACTCCAATTTGAACGCTCAGTAGACAACACTTGATCTGTGATGACTACACTGTGGATTTAATGCATTTATAACGTATCCAATAGTCTGAAATTTAGTATATTCACAAGGTTAATCAATGCCAATACAGTTTTTATTTTATGTGGGATCTAACAAATTTCTGTTTGTTTTCAGTTTCTTTAAATACGTCCTTAAAAATCGGTATTTACATAAATAGCCACAATCTGGTCATGACGATCGTCGTTGAAAAATTTTGTTTACATGATCCGTAGAGAACAGAATTATTAATTTGTTATACCATGCACAATTATGTTTCTACTTTGATCACATAACGTCTGTAGTAAATATCTCTCGAATTTTTTATTTTACTCTGTTTAAATAATCTTTATAAGTCACGACTGTTATAAATAAATAAACGCCACAATCTAATTATGGTGGATATAATAGTTTTGACTTATTCCTGGTGACAATATCCTCGGTAATTACGTAATCGTGTGGCAATAAGGAACGGGGTACAAGGTGCTTGCGGGCGTGTTGGATGCAATATGACAGACCGTAACTACTTATCTTGACAAATGGCGATTATCTGCTTTAGGGACGCCTGAGTGACGTAATCAGGCTGCAACATAATGACACGTCAACACCTAAATGTGTGGAGGACTCTAATTACCGGATTTGCGTACCCGTATATGCTAATCTGATCTAATAATTCAACAATAGGTCACTTTTAACGATGCACTTATATGCGTTGTAATGACGAATTGGTAGCAATTAACGGAATACAAGCATTTTGAGAAATATGATCGATATTATAGGATTAGGTTTAATAATAAGGGCAACTTTACTGTACGTTAAGGATGGCATTCGAATCAGATTTTTCATACATATGTTTAAAAACTATACACACATATACGTAAGTTTATTCTCCTAAATATTTATTATTCCTAATATAAAAAATATTCCTGATATAATCAAAGAGGAGGTAATTCTGTTATGTGTGCAAATAATCAATAGCTTTTTGAAAATGTTAAGGTTACCATTGTCTTTGCTATAATTACAAGATACCCATTTTTAAATTATTGTTCCAGTATAATAAAATAGACTTTATAGAATTGCAGTAACAGTTCAGAATAATTCGACATAAGTATGTTTTTGGAAAATAATTTAATCAATGGAAAACAGGTGAATTGTAACAAGTAGAAATAGCGAGTAATAGGCAGACATACTAACAAGTCGTATTTAAACACACATTATACCTACACCCAAAAATTTTCTAAATTCCTTTTTTTTCCCTTAAACGATACATACTAGAAAAATGTAATTTTACCATTCCGATCTCTATTTATATGTACAATCATCCCTTCTTCGATCGAATTACTAATACAAAGCACACTGTACAAAAACTAGTGAAGTATCCTTACCGTATTGTTTACCTTTAGATTACAACACAAACAGTGGATTACTTATGGGTACACCTAAAATAATGGGTATTCAGAGTGCGCCATAGAACGTTAAAACCAATGTCACGCCCGAGTCTAATTG